CATAGACTCAGTATTTATACATGTTGGTTTACAGTATCTAGTGAAGATGGTGATGTGATTCAGACAAAGACAGTTATTGTTGTGTACCCAAGATTCATCTCTTGGGCCTCAATTCTTTGGGCCTAAGTCAATAGCCTTATATATGCGTTAAGTATGGTCCTATTAAGGGAAAAAAGTCTGAAAAATGCTTTAACTTTAGCTGAAATTGTTGTTACGACACCAAATTTTATGGAGGACCTTTTACGCCCTGAGCTGTTTAATAGTGTATTTTAAAGGTATATATGTGTCCACGTGGACACATTACTATTTATAATTATGCAATATTTTTTATGTCCACGTGGACACGTATATACCTTTAAAAAATACACTATTAAATAGTGCGGGGTAAAAGGTCCTTCCCAAAGTTTGATATCGTAATAACAATTTCGGTCAAACTTCAGATATATTTCAGACATTTTTCCCTCCTATTAATGGATCATCTAGCCCAAGCAGAAATACACCAGATATACAAAAAAAATCAAATTTAGTTACATAGCATTGTATAGGAATATTTACACATGTATAGTTTGTTATTTATTGTCAGGGTAGTATCAAATGATTAGGTGATAGTTGTAGCTATTAGTTTGTCCTTTTTTTTTTGCACGACTTGTATAAATACATATATGCATCAATAAAGAAAGATCATCTGAAAATTCTCAAATCAACTCTCATTTCTTTAGTCTTTCTACATGGTATCAGAATAGTAATTAGATATTTTTTTCTCTATTTTTTTTCCATTTCTTTCTCTGTTTCTGCTCTTTTAAATCCAATGGTTACTCCTACTGAATTAGTGGATGTCACCAACTCTTCCAATGCAGTCACTGTTATTTCTATGGATGATAGATGGTTTTTGTGCTCCTCCTACTAGTGATTCTCCCAACTTCTACTTTCGGACCAGATGCAATGATATGATCACTTCTTGGTTGCTATATTTCCTCTCTAAGGAGATTGCTGGTGTGTGAGTTACTCCAAATCAACACGACACCTCCGGAATGACCTTGCTGACAGGTTTGACCAAGCTATAATGGAGCTTAGCTCTTTCTTCTACAAATGGGTTTGGTAGCTCAGTCCAAGGTAATTCTGATATAGCTAGGTATTTCACAAGGATTAAGAAGATGCACTCTTTATAAATGAGGTTTGCTGCTGCAACGGTAGTTGTGGAGGAAAACATAAGATGGTCAAGTCCACTCAAGATTAAAGGTTGATACAATTTTTAATGATGTGTATGCAGGGGTTTGAAGTAACATCCTCATGATGACACCTCTTCCTAATGTCAATCTTGTTTATTCTATCCTCATCCAAGATTAGAAGTAAAGAGAAAGCAATGTAAGCTCTACTTTCCCAAGAGAGTCATCCTCTTTTCTTGCGGCTCATCAACTTTTCTCTGGACAGAGAAGTCAGCCAGCTGACTCAAAGGATGAAAGTTTTCACTCACTTCCTCTTACTACAAGAAACCAGGACATTCTATTGGCAAATGCAACGGGATAATAGGTTTCCCAACTGATTTCTAGTTTACAAAGGGGTCTAGACTCTAGGCTGGTGGTAAAGGGAGTTCACTGGCTAGTGCAAGGCAGCCAGTAGCAAATATGCATGCAGAACAGTTTGCACATTTTGCTCATCTAGTTCAACTTGCACAAGATGAAAAGATGAGGACTGTTGCGACTGATATTAAGGCAAATATAGTGCATTGTGTTGGTATCATCTTTCACAATCCTATGGCCTATCTGACACATGCTAACACCAGTTCTTGGATATTAGATTCAGTAGCTTCACATCACATGTTTACTTTACCAATCTCATCCTATTATGTCCTCGTTTACTTATTAGATTGCCTAATTCTTATCTTTTATTGCAGAATGTGTTGTTTGTTCCCTCATTAAGAGTAAACTTAATCTCTGTTTACTACTTCTGCAAACAGTTCTGTTGCACTCGAAAATTCTCTATTGCATTTTGTCTTATGCCCACTCTTCAGTGAAAACCCCATTGGTTCTTGGGAAAGCTAAGGATGGAATCCATCTTTTGGAACCTTCTATAGAGTGTTCTTTTGTTTCTGTGAGTTCTTTTAATTCTAGTTCCGAGTCTAGTAATTTAAATTCAAGTTGTACTTTAGTTTCTAGTCCTTTTTCCATTTCTGTAAGGAGTCAATCTGATGTACAAGCATAGCACAGGAGATTGGGTCATATGCCTTTTGATTTAATGAAAAACATCAATTTTATCTACCTCTCAGTCTCATTTTGATTTCATTTGTGATATTTGCGCTTTGGCTAGACAAACTAGACTTCCTTTTTTTCTAGCTATATCAAAACTAAGGGAATTTTTAAACTCATACATGTTGATACTTGGGGACCTTATAAATCACTTACATATAATGAATATAAGTGTTTTCTTACTATTAATGATGATTATAGTAGGGCTACTTGGACCTATCTTCTTTCTAGTAAAAGTACTGCTTTTTCCACCCTGAAAGACTATTTGGTTCTTGTTGAGAGACAAAATAAAGATCATAAGATCTGATAATGCTCTTGAATTGGGTGATGGGGCAATTTATTTAGTCTTTCTGCAATACAAGTAATATGAAACTTTTTAAATTTTCATTTATTAGAACTCCCTTAGGCCTTATTGTTTATTTTATTTTGTTTTTCCCTAGTTGACACATTCTAAAGGAAGACCTAGTCTTTTGCTTTGCTAAGATCACATCAAACTATACACTTCCACCAAAGTAGGAATAAAAGTGGTTGCAATCTTTTTTCATTACTGCATTTTATTGAAATGTGATCTGTCTTCGGATTCTTCTGTTATTATCAAGTGTAAAAGGACCGCAAACAATTGTTCTTAATTCATCGTTATTGCTGCACTTGAATACTCTACCCTCACCAGACCTCACTTGTGAGATTTTACTCAGTCCGTTGTTATCGTTGTTTAGTTAACCAATTGTCAATTATTTAAATAATCAATGACCTTTTTCTTCTAGATTAGTAGGCACCGTAGGAAGAAAATCTCAAATAGAATCATGGAAAATAAAAAACAAGATGTCATTTCTGTACCCAAAGAAATTGTTATTGAGATATTACGAAGAGTACCTGGCCATGATTTGGCTGAAAAGTTAAAGATGGTATGTATGCAGTGGTGTTCAATTATACATACTGGTAGCTTTGCCTACTTACATATTGAACAGAGAATAAAATCCTCATCGTTCTCTCAACTGGAAGCACTTATTGTTGCTTTTGACGGAAATGAATATCGCTCAATAAAAATTTCTTCCTTGGAATGGCACACTAGTTATAATCCAAATGATCATCAATTTGAAGATTGGAACACTAAACACTTATGCACAGCAAAAGATGTACTATTAGGCCGGAACTTTAATCCTTGGATGAACATGATATGGGCCAATTCTGTGAATGGTTTCGTCTGTTTTTGGTCTTTTTCTGATAAAACTCGTTTCCATGTCTTCAATCCTGTCACTAAAGAATACCTCATAACTGCACTGAATACATATCTAGGTATTTCTCTTAGTGTTTCATTGTGAATAATGTGTCTCTTCGGATTGGCATGACACTTCTCTATAAATACTAATACTACTTCGTGTCTTGTTTGTATAGTATTTCCAACCTTTTCTTGATTTTGTTTTAATTCTACTGGTACTTATATAACAGGTGTAGGGAATATTGATTTGGCTACTACTGTGGGCTTTGGATTTTGCCCACTTTCATATGAATACAAGGTTGTTGTTCTTGATGGAAATTCGGAAGTGATTAAACCTTCGATTTTCACTATTGGAATTGACCATTCATGGAGGGCTTTGAAAGTAATTCCTCATCACAATATTTCAAGAGTTGTTACAACGGTATATTTGAAGGGGATATTATATTGGTACGTAAATACTTGTACTTCTACAATGGTACATTCTTGTCATAGAAGAACGACAAAAAACTCTCCTTTGTTTTGATGTAACTAAAGAAGAATTCGATATGATTGTGGTACCAATTGAAATTCCTGAATATTCTGTAACAAATGTAGTAGAAAAGGGAGAAAAGCTTTGTTTGGTAACATTAAGTTGTGGTCCTATTTGCTCCCTCTTGATCAACGTATATGTTGCTCACAATAACATTGATGATGATCTGAGTAACTTAAATTCATGGAAGAAAGAGTTCACTGTGACAGCTCCGAGTATTGCATATCAATTAGATCTAGATGATAATGTGTACACCATAATTGTTACCGATGAGATCGTGGTGATTCAACTTGGTGACTATAACTCTGGATTTTTCCATGTTGCAACTGGAAAGCTGTTGGGATTATTTTCGACAACGCGTGCTACTTTGATCCCTTACAAGTCAAGTTTGGTAGCTTTTTGCCATCGACCACTACTTCCTTCCTTCTCTTGAACTATTCTTTTTTATGACAAGGGAACCCGCAAAATCACACAAGGAGAGGTAAACATACCAAGGCAAGTCACCTGTGACGGGCTCTACCAACCTAAGACCCCTATTGGGAAAATTCCTTTGACTCGGCAACTCTGTGGGTCATAACTGTTCTATTAGAGTTGTTTTTCTTAAAGTCAGAAACCAACTTTTATGTCATGTCTTAAATTGTTTTTACCATTCCAACTTCACTGTAATTCATCTCATCTACATCATTTTTGATGGATCGTAATTTCAATACAAAGTTCAAAAAAATATTAATATTAATTTACTTTGTTTGACCAACACTTTGACGACTCATTCATAATCATAATGTTACTGATTATATTAAAGTAATCATCCCTCATGTTAAATAAAATTAGCATGAAATTTAATGATTTAGCTGTCGTCGCTAAATCCAGTTTCTTGTAACGATCTTTGAACGTCATCAACATCACAGGGAGGAAAGTGTAGTTTATGTAACAAGAAGGAGCTCTTTGAAATTAACCCAAAATAAAATTAAAAAGGGAACGCGGAAAATACAAAATTCGAACAGACTATAAATTAGGGCAGTTTGAAATCTGCAGCTCCTCATTTCCTTCTCGTGAAGATGTCAACTGCAGTTTCGCAGCAAATCTCCCTATTCAGATTCCAAGTCGAGAGCCGTAGGTTTGTTTTCGATTAATCAAAATTTTTATTCTGATTCAATAAAATGCACTTGTGAGCATGATTTTTGTGCAGACTGGATGAAGGAACTCTTCGAATTCTCGAGTCCGTTTTAGCTTGGGACGATTACAAATCTCTGGACGGAGTGGTATGTACTTTGAAACAGTTCATGAGACACGAATCTCTCCGAATTATTGAGGAAATCGCTGGAAAAGCTGCAGAGCATAAGCTTCTGATCGTAGATTTTCTAGTTCGCCTTTTTGCTCTCATCGGAGATAATGAGGTATACAGCTTTATCAATTTCAAATTTGTACATTTCACTTTGACTTAGTTATTTGGAAACACGTAGTTACTAGAAGATAGAGTTAATCGGAAAGAACAGTAGTTTTTTTTTTTTTTTTGATGACAAAAAGAACAGTAGTTTTCAGTAGGATGATGTTGAAGACACTGAAAAAATGCATACAGTGGAAGAGCGTCTGCTGTATTAAACCATGTATTTTGGTGGAATTTGTGATAAGTTGAAGCGCTGCTTGAAATTTTGTAGCCTGTTGTGTTCGGTAATTGTATTATCTTCAAAAGATAAATCTCATGCTAATATTGTTTTGCTAAGGAAGTTATTTCCTTACTTTAGTTTTAGTGTTGGAATGCATTTCAATAAGTATTAATAGTAGACACAGATAACTTATATTTCTGTACAAGTGGTGGTGGCGGCAGGTGGTAATGTGAGTAGCAAAAGATGTAAATAATGACTGCTGTGTGGCAGAGAAATTGGTATCTGTAAAGGAAATATATCCTTCCTTATGTATATACAAAAACTCTTTTCGGTTGAAGTTTGTGAAAATGAAGTAATCAATAGAAGTGATATTTAGGAACACGAGAACCTGTCTATACTCTATCCAATAAGTGTAATGATTGGATAGCTTTCATGGTATATTACTGCAGATACACCTCGTTCTTTTCTTATATGTGAAACAATTTGACAGAGCATGAGGTTAAGAGTTTGCTGTAGTCTTCAACAGAATGTCGATGTAGTTGTCGAGAATTCATCTGATTTTAAACATCACATCATGCTTTAAATTATCTTTTTGAAATTTGTGAAAGCTGCATACAAAATTTATCAGAGTTAAAGTGTGTCGAACATTTTGGAAGATCCAAAGTGTAGGTATATCCTATGTTGTGAAAGCTTTAAGAAACCACAACTGATGATGATTTTATTCTTCTATTATAGAAATTCTGGATTTGCCTTTTTATTTTCGGTTCCAAACACGTGATTTTTAACAATTGGGTATTCACAGAGTTGCTTGGCGTTGAGATATGAGGCATTGCTTATGAGAGAGCAGAAAGCTATCAGTGATCAGAGGCTTCTTGTTTCATATAGAGAGTGGCTCGCTTTTGCTGAGCATTCACTTGAAAGTGGCTTTTGTTCCATTGCAAAGAAGGTAAATTTCTGACAAAATTTTGGGCACTTGTAAGCATTTTACATGTGCAAATTAGCAAGGAACAAAATTCTTAGTATATGCTGTCCATTGAAAATTTATGGTCAGGTTAGAGTTAATGCTAAATGCTACTGCTTCTACTGTTATGTTTATATACTTCTGTGATCATAGCTTGAAGGTTCTTATCATGTCATAATGTGTTCCCCTTTTGGATGTGTTTGTAGGTTCTATCTCTGTTAGTTTACCTGGATAATTTGATCTGACACTCAGATGCTATTGTGAAAATCACTAAACTTTGTTATCTTTATGCCTCTTGTTGGAAATTTGTTAGATGTAGATATACGGTTCTTTTGCATTCTGAATTAGGAATTAGACTCACTGCTGAAAACGTCTCGTTCTAATTAGCCTCCTCTACCTCAGCAATGAGTCCTCCTTTGTCTACTTCAGAAATACAGTATGGACAGTTTGTCATGGGCTTATGTGTAGTGAACTTATGCTAGGAATTAGATCAATCTAGCTGTGCAACTATTGCATGTTTAACATCTTACTGACACTAAGGGCATATGTATTTCACTTGATGCTATCTATTTTGTTCATTTATTTTGAGCCTGGTACCTTATGGCTTCATAAATATTGTGAAGTTACAACATCCTACTGCTTATAGTAAGTGTATCCCAATATCTGCCTCTGACTTGTACTTTTCAGGCATGTGAAAAGGCGCTCTTATGTTTTGACATGAACATTGTAGATGACCCTGAAAATTATTTCGTAATTGAAAAAATTAAGAAGCTTAAAGACGTTGCTGTGATCTCAGCGTCTTCAAAATCTGGTATGTTCAAGTATTTCATTAAATCCCTCGTTTGTTTCATAGTTCATGCTTTGCCGTTATATATTCCTAACATGAAAGTGAAATGAATTTGGTGGAATGACATCAAAGTCTTCCATTAGATCATATGTAACTAGAAGGGTGGTGAAGGGAAAGCTAATTGTTATCTGTTCATTACTACTAAAGCTTTCTTGTGGTACAATAGTTCAGGCGCAGGCAGTAACGTACTTCAAGAACAAAAATATTCAGCAGAACTCACAAGGATCCTACATTCCTGTGGAAGTTAAAAGTTCAGGAAGCACTCTGTTTAGAGATGGAATCAAAAGACGACACAGACGCCAATTGGATGAATACCGACATCTGAAACTGAGGGGAATAACTGATGGAAACACGCAAAATATTTTGGTAGGTCATTATGCCAAGTAAAAAAGATCTTATTTAATTTTGTCATTTGATTACAGTTGATAGTGCAGGAATGATTTTTCTCTGAAGTATTACTATTACGGATAGTCACCAATATGATCAAAGATCAACTTCCCTTCTTATGGTTAGTATCTTGGAAGGTAATTACTTTGATTAATATACCACAATATCATTGCAATGATATGTTTAAAACTTATAAGATATATGGTCTTATAACAAAAATATTGTGCTGTGGTATGAATCTCTTGTTTCATCTATTGACTCTTTTGTTTCTTGTCTAATTGAAGAGAATTTGTTTCATCAATTGAAAACTCTTCAAAATTACTTTTGCACCATAATAAGCAATTTTTGGCATTTTAAATTACTGATAATGAGACAAGGTCAGACTGCTTGCCTTGTCTCTTCTCGACCTTGGTCCTGCAATAGGAACCTAGCATGCTGGTGATAACCCTTCAATAAAATATGTTTCTTAGGGAATCTGTAATTAAGTCTAAGCAACAAACAAAGAGTACATTTGCAGCAAGATATTAGCTTCAGCCCCTCTCCATGCAATCACTTGCCTATCCAGTTGAGTGTTTTGTCAATTTTCAGACCTTCACCAAATTGGATAGGTGTAACTTACTAGTTAAAATCAAAGAGTTGGATTAGTAAGAAATTTTGACTATAACAATTACTACCTCCATCCACTTTTAATTGTCATGTTGCACTTTTCGAAAGTCAATTTGACTAATCTTTAAAGTTAAATTAGATTACATTAATTTGATATATTAAACAAAATAAATTAGATATTCAAAAACTACACGAAAAGTACTATAAATTGCAATTTTTTGCATATCAATATGATGAAAAAATACATCGTAAAATGTTGGTCAAAATTCTTATTGTTTGACTCTAAAAAAAACTATGACAATTAAAAATGGACGAAAGAAGTAGGAATTTGTATAACTTTTAAGAAATCCAATGAACGAGGACAAAAGGGAAAAAAAATCTTCTTTCTTTAATTGTATCACTTAAGAATCCATGTGAAATGAAAATATCATGCACGATTTTGAATATGAAGAATTAGGGGCGGATATAGGATATACGGTAATACATAGATAACAGGTTTATCGAACACAGTTGCTTAGCGTAAATCTTGTATGCGTTAAAACTCTCACTAAATTGCTACTTCCTTCCCGATTTGTGTATTTTCTATATTTGATAACAAATTTAATTTTAAAATGCTTAATTTATCCTTAACGATATGACTTATCACCGCACAAATAGTTATGATTTATGTTAGACTATAAATATTATTTTACTCGTTTAATAAAATATTATCACATAAATTGGGACAATTCAATACAAATAATAGATTCAAATATAGTAAGTCATTGACTATGATAGAATATCGAGTTTAAATTGATAAAGTTCAAATTCTAAATCCGCATTCGGAGAGAATGGTGTGATGAATCCTCTATCGATTGTGAATGATTTCAGGCTCTGACTTACTCTCTTTCGATAAACCTCATGGAAGATTTTAGGATTTCAGGGAATTGATTTTCACATAAAAATTTGCTACCTTTTGTTTTCTTTTCAATATTTTAGTGTTCAACAAAACCCGAAGCCTTGAATTTCCACCACTTTAGAGATTGAACAAAATAAAAGAAAAAAGAAGATATTTTAAAATTTAAATAAATAAGAAAACATCCATTTTCCCAATAATCGAATCTTCCATATCACCAAGTGCAATTAATGGATGCATTGAAGCTCGCATGTTTTTTATTTTCTCTAAGACGGTACTGAAGATGTCTGTTTTTCACTCTTATTTTATTCATCACCTTATAAAATTAATTATTCCATAAAATCAATAAACAATATTTACAAGGTTCTCATCATGTCGACCACGTCTCTTCTTCCTAGCTATAAGAAGTTACTGGTTTGAAAAATTCTAAATTGGAAACTGAAACAGAAGATTTTTTTTTTGTATTTTATGAGGTTAGGTGGGGGACCCATAACTTATATTTTTGTCTTAGAAGGAAAAGTGATTTGGTCATTTAGACTAGTTGAACATAGAAAATTGGATATGATAATTATAATATAATTCAATAGAGTTTTTAGTAGCTGGGAAAAAGAGCTGTTTTCCTCGGAATAGAAGATAAAAAGTTTGGAATCATGTGGAAAGCATTAAATGCTAAAGAGTGAGAATCGAAGCTTGGGGTTCTTCAACTCTTATTGTTTATGGTGTATCATTTCAGAAACCTCGTGATACATTTGCTCTAATAAGTTGATGAATATTTTTTTAATTATATGTCTAGCTTAGCCATACTGCTGAAGAATCTTTTCATTTTCATCCCAACTTAATTAATGGTGAATCAGATGTGTAAGCTGTAACTGCTTAAATTACTTCATTTTGTGCATGTTACCACTGTATTCTATCGTATGTCTCCGTCTTAAATTATCTATGGTGTTTCTCTTTTACATATTTCTCAAAAAAAAAATTACGTAGTAAGGAGTATTTTCCCTTCTATTATACCTTGTCTTAAAGGTTAATCTCTTTCGTTAAATATTTACTCTATCTACTTGTCTTAAGTAGTACTAAGAATAAAATGAGAAAAAATAATGAACTTTGTTTTACATTTCTAAAATGACAAATTACTCTTGCCGTTTCTTTTTAATTGTCATGTTGCACTTTTCGAGAGTTAATTTGACTAATTTTCAAATCTAAATTAGATTACATTCATTTGATATTTTAAAATAAAATTTTAGCTATTCAAAAACTATTCGGAAAGTACTATAAATTGCAACTTTTTTTCATAAAATGTTAGACAAAATTCATATTGTTGACTCTCAAAAAAGGAAACTATGATAAATAAAAGGAACGAAGGGAGTATAATTTAAGATAATTATTTTTAGAAATCACGATAAATAATTTGAGACGGAGGGAGTACTACTTTTGCTTTCATCTGGGTCTTCTCATTATTTGCAACAGTTATTTCAGCTTTGCGTGAACTAGTTAACTGGTTTTCATTAATATTTTGGTTGTTTGTTACTTTCATTTTGTTTTCCTCCCCAAATTAAAGAACTTTTCATTATTTTTTTCCAATTTATATTTTATGGGGGGATGTTATGGAAAATATTAGAATTTGCTGCTACAAATATTGGACTATTCAGTTGTCTTGAGGGTAGAAGTAGAGAGATATTCATCGGCTACGGTGGAGGAGTAAAACTGAAGGAAATATCCAACTTTTAGAACTCTTGGAATATGTGTAATAGAAGGTGCTAAATTGGACGAAATGCATAATTAATTATTCTGCCAAAAAGTTTCTAAACTATCCCATTCTTGTCCTTGAAAAAGGGTAAATACGTAATATGTCCTCGTCAAATTAATTCAAATTACTAGTATGATTAAGTGATTGAATGAAAAATTTAACAAATTGAGAAATTAATTAACTAACTACGTTTAAATGACAGAAACCTATATTCAAACACATTTATTAGTTCAAAATGTAAATAACTATGATGTGGGTAAGTTTTCACCTTTAAACTTATTTGTACTTGGTATTTGCACCAAATCAATAGACAATGTGTTTGTTTGCACATAAACCATTAGTGGTTAATGATTGCCATCTCCATTTATATTTGACTTGACATACCCCTTAAGAAGCAATAAATAAAATGATAATTTTACTATATATCACCCTACTTATTCATCTAAAGTTGGAAAATGAATAGTATACTTAATAAAAAGTGTAAAATAGGTATTAAATGGTAATTTATCTTTTTGTTTTTAACTGGATGAATAAAAATGAACATCTATTTTAAGTATGATGAAGCGATTGATATGCGTTCTTACTTCATTGGATTGCTACTTTAACTTTAGTAACTTAACCTGATTTGAATATAAATCTATGTGTTTAAAGAAGAAAATAAGAGCACCCATAAACACTCTTTCAAGTTTGGTTTAGCTCAATTTAACAGTTCTACTAATTATGCCCAAAAATAACATATTGTACATGAAGAGGTGAGCCATTAGTGTATATGAGTAGAAATTAAATGGTGGACGTGTATGTGATTATAGAGTGATTATTAAACTTGGAACCTGTGTTAAGCACGTCGTATTTTATAGATTAAACAGCTTAAACACATGGTTTACAGCCTAAACAATTTCCTTTTTAATAAGAGTCGCTAATTAATGTCAACTAAAATAATGTTCGTCTGCAGGAGTACAAGTCAATTGGCACAAATTAAACCTTAAATTGTCAAAAAATGTGGAAAAATTAAAAATAAAAAGGTTTCCCCACTTGATTTGCGTCAATATATAATTAAAATTTTCAATTTTCAATGCAATAGTAATTCTCTTACTTAAGCTTCATTTGCCTACAATGACTCATGTTTTATGGTAACATCAATTCGTCTTTTATTTAAAAAAGAAAAAAAATCGTCTTTTATATTTTATTTTTCTCCTTATTTTAATGATTAAGAATATACATATTATATGTATATAATGTTTTTTACCGATGCTAACAGGTCATTAACCAACTATATATTGCAGGGTCATGTAATTTGATATTCAAGTGACCTAATAAATAGATACCATTTAGATTAGTTGATAAGTATCAAGTGTTGAAAAATATTTTTAGATACTGAAATTGATTTTATTAATAAACAGTCAAATGTTTAGATAGAATTGTTGAAATTAATATTAAGTGTGCCATTAGTCTGTTTGGTAAAATGATATTGATAAGTAATTTTTTGGTTAAATGACAAAAATGTCCATAGAGCTCTTTACAAATATAAAATTTTAAAAGTATTTTAGATTAATAAAAAAGAAAGGACCGAATAACGAAAGTAGAATACAAAAGATAATAGTGATAAACCGCAAAGGTTAAATCAAACAAAAATATACATATAATTAGCCGTAAGATCTTATATTAGTGACCAACTTATGACCTACAATTAATTTTAGGAAAAATTACAGAAATTTCACATTTTGATTTACTTATTACCATTATCCCCAATAAATTTTACAAATCTCCAAAATCCCTCATTTTCGCACATCAGATTAGTGTATCATGTATAAAATGTAATGCATCTAGCTTAACGATTAATGAATCTCGCGCATCAAATTAATGTATCAGCGCTTATATTATTGTATCCGTTTGAGGGATTTCTGTAATTATAAACTTTTAAGGAATAGATTGTAATTTTACTTTAAAAGTATATGATTTCTGTAATTTGCCCTTAATTTTAATGCGTATAAACACTTTCGATATTTATCAAATATATAAACAAATCAAGAAGATATTACAAGTTAGCGAATTTCATCAATTAGTAGCCTGTGTATATGTAATAATAGTAAAACTTATAACAAATAATACTCCTTCCGGTTCAAAATAAGATTTTTTACCACTTTTTCAATGATTTAAAATAAATAAAAAATTTAAAGTCCAAAAACCTATTAATTATTTTGTTTTCCAAAAATACCCCATCTCTTTGATGAGTTTTCCAACACAATTTCTAGCTATAGAAGATTTTTTAAATAAATAATATTAATAAATTATCTTATAATTAATTTTCCTAAAAAATGTATCATCACACCCTAAAAATTCATATATTTTGATCAAGGGTCACACAAGGTAATTTGTATGGCGGTTTATAAGAAAAACATATAACAAAAAAAATAGATGTTTC